AGAAAGAAAGGTTGTGGAAATCCTCGCTAAACTATTGCTGGTACGGAAAATAGCAGGAGAATTGAATCGTTTCTAATGCTGATATAATTAAACTACTTTATGTCTCTGTTTTCAATCTGGAAATCAAACTTTTTAAATACTGACGAAATAAAAACTCCAAAAAAATATATTGTAGAATCAATGAATAAGTAACAAAACCCTTAACGCCAAAATATACTTGATTCATAGGGACATCAGGTTATACATCAGGTAACAAAATTCAATTAAGAAGGCAGTGAAATCAAAGAACGAATAATAAAATTCTTAATATTATAGCATTAGTTACCCATAGGGATAGAAAGTAATTTAAATCTTATATATAACATATTGTAATTATAAAAGAATATGTAAGATAAAGATAACGAAATCTACTATCTACTATTACTAGCGATATATTCTAAAAAAATAATTACATACTACAATCACATACTTCTACTTAATCTACTTTGTTTGTTACAGAGGCAGCACATTAAATAACTTCCATGTACCTTAATTAGGGATTTTTCGGATTATTAATTAAACGTATAAAGACCTTTTATAAATTTTAACTTATAGTCTCCTATCAACTTAAGTTCAGCACGTTATTGAAAAGTTTTGCTTATTGACATGTCCCTGTCAAATTGTCTTGAATAATACTCTACTTCTTGTTTTTTGATATATACATTATTGATCTATACACGATATGTAATCTGAGTTCTTGCAAAGATTGTCATCGCTTGTATTCTCTACACATCCTATTTTAATCCGTTTCCTCTATCATTCACGAAAGTCTATCGTTAGATGTCTAGTGAAAGGATATCGTTAGATATCTTGCTAAAGACTATTGTTAAATGTCTTTCCGAAGGGTATTTCATGGATCAAGTTTATCTATTGGAATTGCTTGCAAATAATGTGATTTCAAAACAAGAAATAATTTTCATTTATATAAGAAGAAGGAGTAACTACGGATTAATCAATCAACCAATCTTTAAAATTTGGTGACCGGAACGAATCATAATCCTTAATTCTCACTTAAAACTTGTTAGAAATTTGA